AAAACGCTTAACAGACATTTGTTTAAAGTGTAAAATGTTTGCACCTGCCTATGAAGCAAATCGTGAGCCTGGGCTGAAGAAACTGCAAGGAGGCTAGTCACTAGGGAAAGGGAGCTAGGCATGCTATGTGATGTCATTACCCAGTGCCCACAGTGACTCTTTCTGGGCTGGGCTGGGTTGTTGGCTGCATTTTGCACCATGGAGTTTCAGCAACATTGGCTGTGATTTGGTGGGGTGTCACTCTGGGGTGGTGATGGGGCCCGTGTCCCACTTTGGGAAGCTGAATGTTGGTTTGTCAGCACCAGGTCTGTAGTGCAATTTCTTTTTATATGGACAGTGTGCATCATGGCAGCTCCTACAATGAGCATCTGCCCTCTGGTGGTCAGTGCACATCACAGCTATTGGTTGGATGGCTGGCCAGACACTTAAGCTTTTATATATGTAGACTAGAGGCCCGTTGCACAAAGATTTGTGTAAGAATAGGCCTTCCTTCCTATGCTTCGTTTCTGGCCGCCTGGGAGCCTCCAAGTCCTTGCTCCCAACTGGAGCATTGCTCCTGTAGCTCCCTCTTCCCTCTGCCCTCCCCCTCATAGTAGGTGTCCCACCCCGCCTGGCTGCTCAGTGCCTGTGTATGCAAATTAACCCACCATCTTTGTCAGGTTAATTTGCATATCCACTCCCGATTGGCCGATGGGCGTCATGGAGGTATGGTCAATTTGAATGTTTCTCTTATATTAGTGTAGATTTTCTGAAGTGGAGTTGCTGAGTCAAAGGATAAATGCATTTATAATTGACTCATTACTTAACCAATTGCACCATACTTTCTCCTCAAAAAAACACTATCACCATTTGTTTGTGCAAGCCTCTGTTGTATTTTATCCTTTTTTCCCCTTTATCTTCTATCTCCACTATCAGTTTATTCTTCATCTGTTTATTTAGATATGTGTGTGTGTGTTTGCTTTTAAATTATACACAAGATAATGACACTCTACAGGGGTGGGCAAAAGTAGGCTTACAGTTGTTCCCATGGAAAATAATATAATAATAAGTAATAATACAAGAATAAACTCTGTTTCCCATACTCACAACTGTAGACCTATTTTTTTCTACCCCTGTATAATTTCCTTTTCTTTTGTTGTGATTGCAAACTGGCTCCCTTTGCCAGAACACCAGCCTGGCCACACCACAGGTCCGTGAGAGAAGCTTGGATGGGAAGCACTAACAAAGGAACCTACACAGGGTCCTGCGAGGAAGAATGAAGCTTAACTTCGTGGTGGCTGCGGGCTGTGCCCTGGAGCCTTGCCTCTTTGCCCAGGAAGCCAGAGCTGAGATGCTCAGGTCCAGATACCTTGCCCGGCGAGGAATTGGTAAAGACAATACTAGTACTGGCTGCTCATCCATTCTTTCATTACTTCCTCCACCACCGCACCCCAAAATCCCAGTGGTGGCTGATTTCAACCTCAGGATGCTGCATCCTGCCGATGAGGCTGCTTCCTGGGTGTTTCATGAGGAAATCCTGACCAAGCATCTGCCGGGAGGGTAGGGTGGGTGGAGAGTGGAGATACCAATTGGCAATGTTCAAGTCTAGGGCTTATCCCTTCCTCTCCATGCAAATTTACCTGCGTGCACACAACCACACTCACCAAAGGAAAGGAAATGTAGCTGACAACATACATCACCTGAAACAGAATTGTCAGAATATCCTCCTTTTTTTAAAAAATATAAATCTTTATTGTTCATATTATTAGAAATGTTCCTCTTTTTTTCCCCCTCCATTGCTCCCCTCCATATGTTCCCACCCCACCCTCTGCCCTTTCCCCACTCCCCATTATCCTCATCCATTGGTGCATAGTTTTTGTTCAGTCTCTTCCCACAACCCCAATCTCATTTTCCCAAGAATTATCAGTCCACTCCCCTTCCATACCTCTGATTCTATTATATTCACCAGTTAATATTGTTCATTAGATCTTTTAATTCCCTTGGTTTTTAGTTTCACTTGTTGATAGTTACATATTTGTTGATCATAATTTTTATCTTTATCTTCTTCCTCTTCCTAAAGAACCCCCTTCAGCAATTCATAGAATTCTGGTTTGGCGGTGATGAATTCCTTTAGCTTATTTTATTTTATTTTATTTGTGAAGCTCTTTATCTGGCTTTTGATTCTGACTGCTAGCTTTGCTGGGTAGAGTATTTTTGGCTGTAGGTTCTTGTTATTCATCACCTTGAATATTTCTTGCCATTCCTGTCTGGCCTGCATGGATTTTTTTTGAGAAATCAGCTGACATTCGTATGGTGCTCCTTTATAGGTAACTATCTGCTTTTCTCTTGCTGCTTTTAATATTCTCTCTTTGTCTTTTGCTCTTGGAATTTTAATTATGATGTGTCTTGGTGTGGTCTCGTCCTTCTTTTGATCCCCACCCCTTCCCCCCCTACCCCCCGCCATGTAAGAATACAAATACCATTCTTACTGTATAAGCTGTGCAAAACCAGGCAACACAGAGACTTGGCCCACAGGCCGTAGTTTGCTCATTCCCGGATGAGACTATATTGTCTAACATTTGGCGGCTGTCTTAGGCAGAGGAATGCGTTTACTGATGTTCACTTTCTTTTGAATAGGAAATACCATCACGGGGCTAAAAATCACATATCGAGGAATCTTCCTCTCACGCATCTGTGCCCACCCCGTTCCCATGCTCGCCCTGCTTTTCCTCCCTAGGCAACCGTTTCAATGAACTTCTTGCATGTCCTTTAAGGTTAGTGGCAATAGCAGCAAATACGTGTTCACCTTCCACTTCCCCTCTTTCCTACATAAATGCAGCCCTTTACCCCCTTCGATTCCCCCCTCCCCGCTGCCCTTTACCTTGTTCCTTTCCCTCGCTGCCCTCATGGAGATTTCCTGTCTGCCACAGGCCTCCCTCCTTAAACAGACGTATTCCATTTGGAGGTGTCATTGCTTATTTCATGAGTCCACCCTATACGGAAACTTGGGTTATTTCCAATCCAATTCAGAATAATGTGGCAATAAAACAATTTCCCAGGAATTGCTCTGTGTGTGCCTTCATAGAGCACGTTTCTATGACGAGGGGTCGCTGAGCCAAAGGACAAACACATTCATGATGTTGATGGGCACACTGATTGGCCTTCTGTGGACATTTTTCCCCCCATGATTTTTTTTGGCATTTTAAAAAATAATATATTTTATTGATTTTTTACAGAGAGGAAGGAAGAGGGATAGAAAGTCAGAAACAAATGAGAGAGTAATATCGATCAGCTGCCTCCTGCACAACGTCCACTGGGGATGTGCTCGCAACCAAGGTACATGTCCTTGACCAGAATCGAACCGATGACCTTTCAGTCCACAGGCTGACGCTCTATCCACTGAGCCAAACCAGTTTCGGCCTCTGTGGGCATTTTGCCCTCCACAGCACCCGTATCCCTCCCCCACAGCCTTGCCGACAGGGCAGTCTGTTTGGTTTTTGGATTTTTATCTATTCCGGTACATACAAATGATATTTCAATGGAGTTTTAATTTGCACTTCTCTTATTGTGAGTGCCTGTGGACACCAGCAGGGCTCCCGCCAGCAAAGGAAGCGTCTTTATGCCGAATTAGAAAAAGGCAGCCCTTCCGGGAGGTGAGTGACAGAAGGCACCCACTCTGGGCAAGCCTGAGTTAAGGCCCAGCTCCCACCTGCGCCCCCAGGCAGGGACCCACGCCAGCTGCCCTGATGGTGATGGCCCGGGTGGGACTATCCTGGGTGACAGAAGGGCCAGTCCCAAGCCGCTCCGCCATTTATGGGTCTCAGTGCAGAATAAAAAGCGCGGCCCTAGGTTATGCTGAATTTCAAGATGGCCTGGACACAGCATGCAACGGGGTGCAATACCCTTCTGAACAGGGCCTGCGGGACTCGCAGCCCGGAAGCCGCCCCGGGAGGGGGTAATGCCCTGGGTTCATTGCTGGCCAGCAATCCCTGCCCGCCTCCCCTGCTGGCATCGCAGGAGAACATGGTGCGTGGAGGTGTGAATGCTGTTCCCCCAGGAGGCCAGCAGGAGTGGCTCTGGTCCCGGGAAGGAGCAGCCACAGCCGGCTTCACCGGCGCTGGCACCGCTCTCACTTCTCCAATGGCCCAAAGCGGTTGCCAGTGAGACGAGGGGGAAAGGCTCAGGGACGTGCTGCTGGAGGATTTGACTCAGCCCATCTGACCTGAGTCTGTGTTTATAACCCTGACACTCCATTGCCTGTAGTGTTCCCACACCACAGCAGGCACACACACACACACACACACACACTCATTCACATGCACACATACACGTACACACACACTCACACCGACTCTTTCTCTCTCTCTCTCTCTCACACACACACGCACACTCCCATACAGATTCTCACACACATACAAGGCAGGCAGACGCATGCACACACATACACACATACTCACACACCCACACTCACATGCATAAATTCACACATACACACACACACACACACTCACATACATTCACATGCACACTCATACACTCACACACACACTCACATAGTCACCCATAAACACACACACACACAGATTCTCACACATACAAGGCAGGCAGACACCCACACATATAAAAACTCACACGTACATACACACGCACACACCTGCACACATACTCACACACGTGTGCGTGCACACACACACGCGCACACACACACACACAGTTTGCCAATGAACTAATTGCTTTATTTAGAAGAAACCTGGGCGTGTGGCCGCCACGCTAAGCAGGAAGCGGGACACGGAGAACAGTGGGGAGGGGACACCTCCTGCCCCCAAGGAAGAGGGGAGAGGCACAGGCCACAGGCCTGGGGCTTCCCATTCTGGAAGGAAGGCTTCTCTCTGGGGGTCAAGGGGCTCCTTGGTGGAGGGGTGTTTCCTTCATTTCTGAGAACTAGCGGGGGGGGGGGGGTGGTGAGAGAGGGCAGAAAGGGAAACTCCTCGTGGGCAGCGAGGCTTACACGGTGTGAAATTCTAACACGGGGGGTCCGGCCCAGTGCAAAGTATGTTGGGGTAGAACTGGTACTGTTTCTTGTAGGTGTGCCGGTTACTCCCAAAACAGATGGCAGCTGTTTTATCACATTCACACAGCTGGCTGGGACAGGAATCCTGATCCCCTGAAATCACAAGAAAATTGAACTGGCGGAGGGTTTGGTAATACCTGATGGCGCCTGTGGGAAAGACATCGCCCCTGTCCTCCAGAGGCGCCTAGTCCCAGGCAAACACCTAGGATCCGGGTATGTCTGATGGGAAGACAGTGCTCCTGTCCTCGGAAGCGAGCGCCCAGTCTGATGGGGACACAGCCCCCAGCACTGGGAGACTCCTCCTGACAGCCACTGTCTCTTTCTTCTTCCCAACAGCTGTGTCCAGGTGCAAAGCCACAGGCCCTAGGGCCTGGGAATGGTTTGTGATTGGTGTAAATCAGTCATGCTCATCCCCTTTTCCTTTCAGTGATTGGTCTCTGGGAGCACGTGACCTTGTTCTGGCCAAGGAGCCCCAGGGGAAGTGTCTCCTGGGGGCTGTGGGAAGGACTAATTTCCTCCCCCAGATAGAGATGCCCAAGGGGGGAAGCCTCATCTATAGGGAAAGGCCATGATGTTGGAGTGGCACCAGGCATCTTGGCATTTGACTGGTTTGGCAGAGGGCAGTGCCAAGGTCGGGGAACAGAAGGTGGTGAAAATGCTGGGTCCCTGACCACATGGTTGAGAAGCTGCCCCACCCTGGCACTGCCCTCTGCCAGACCAGTCAGACTTCCCCATTATCCAAGCCTCTTGGAGTTGGGCATGTCACTTCTCACAACCCAAAGCCTAAAATACATGGCCCTATGGAGAGGTCATGATAGGGAGACATTATTTCTGAGTTGGGGAGAGGCAATACTTTCTCAAAATCTCACCAGTGGGTCTGCTGTCTGGGGGCACTGGGCAAACCGTTTCATTGACCACCCAGCTATCTCCTCCCCTTCAGAGCCAAACGTGCTCCGGATGTCTTGGCTTTATGTCCTGCCTGCTCCTCCCTACCCCGCCATCATCTGGATTTGCCCTCACATTCCATGGCAACAGCCCAGTGAGGTCCTCAGTGGTCTTCCTGCCTCTAAATCTGAGGAGCCTTGTCAGCCCTTATCCTGGAGACTTGGTGTTAAGTGGCTGTTGTCCATTCCTTGACCTTCTCTCTCAGCTCTCCTCTCCCTCTCTGACAAGCCCTCCTCTCTTCTTTTGGGCCTTTAGACATCAAATGGGTGAACATATCCCACTCTCAGCTTTCTGCTGTGACTCCTGAACCCGTGGCCCATCCAGACCCTTCCCTGGAGCTGCCCATCCCTACATCCAGCCGCCTGCTTCGTGGCTCCCTGGGTGTTCTGGAAGCCTCTTAAACGTGTCTACACAGAACTCCTCTCTTCACTCACCTGGACCACTTCCTGTTGCATCCACGGGACCGTACACCCACCCAACAGCTCCCTATCTCTCTGCCCAATCAGCTCTGCTGATTCCATCTGATAGGTCACTCTCCACCCTTCCCATCAAGACTACCATTGTCATATGTCCAATGGCAATGGTCTTCTCACTGCTGCCCCACCGCCCAGTTTCATTGGTCTCCACCTGTTCATGCCACTCCTTTGCTCAAAAGCTCTCTACTGCTCTACAACAAAATCTAAATACAGTATGGACTTGGGCTTGGCCTGGCCCCTCCCTGTCCCTTCAGCCTCATCTCTCCTTCAGGCTCACAGAAGGGTTTAGCTCCCTTGGGGCCCTTTGACCCTGCTGTAGGAAGACCCCAGCCCTCCTCTCGCCTGGTCCCGGCACAGCCTTAAAGACTCAGTTTGGAGCCTTCCTGGACCGCAGCCTATGCTCAGGGCCCTGGCCTTTGGCTAACTTCCTATTGGAGTCTCCCATCTAGTGTTTTCCTTTTCTTTACTTCACAGGCACTTACAAGCTTACAAACTCCCAGAGGCAGGGACACTGTCCTATTGTATTTCTTCCTCTCTGGGTTTTTTTTTTTTTTTTTTTTTTTTTTTGTGTGTGTGTGTGTGTGTGTGTGTGTGTGTGTGTGTTTTGTTAATGCTTACCTGAGGATATTTTCCCATTGATTTTTAGAGAGAGTGGAAGGGAAGGGGAGAGACACAAAGAGAGAGAGATACATCAATGTGAAAGAGACACACCGATTGGTTGCCTCCTGTACACACCCAACTGGGGGATGGGTATCCAACCTGGAACAGAGGTAGGTACTGCTGGAATTGAACCCACGGCTGGTGCTCTACCCACTGAGCCAAACGGGCCAGGGCATCCCTTTGTATTTCTATCTTTGGTGCTCAGCTCAGTACCCAGCACAGCAGACACTCAATAAGGGAAACCAAGGAGACAGGGTGAAGTTGTAGGATGTCCTTACTGCAGACGATTTGGCCATTTTGGAAAGTAACGTTGTACTTCAGAAACTTGGTGCCACATTTCTGCTCCTCCAGGTGTTTGTAGCAACAGTCATGTGCAGCACAGCACCTGTGGTGAGGAAAGGTGATTAGGGCAGCTTCCCCACAGGTCCAGGGAGCCCAATCCCCCGTGGTCTGGCCCCATGCTCTGGGCAGAACCCAATGACTTGCAATGGTCTAGAGCAGAGTTTCCAACATGCTGGCTGCTTTTCCAGCTGGGACCTTCTGGGGTCTTTGACGATGGGCACCAACCCTGCCCTGGAAGCTCCTAGTTCTGCGGGGGCCACGAGTGGGTAGAGGGAGGGGAGGGCTGGGATGGCCTCACCGATCCGTTTCATCCTTGGGGGTTCCTTCACCACCTAAGCCACAGTGGCAACCATAGAAGGCATAATCTAAGAAAGCATTCTTTCCTGTGGCAAACACGATCAGTTTCAGGAAGTCCAGCAAGTCTCCGTGGGTCTGCAGTGGGCCTGGAAGGACATCGCCTGGTGATGGGGCCGGGGGCCCTGTATCCTCCTTCTCTGTCCTTCCCTGCTCCTCGCCCTCCCACAGGGCCTCTCTCCCACCCACTGAGAGAGAGGGCCTGTGGAAATGAGAAGGAAAGCTGGGGCTAGGGCTGCTTTAATCTTGGGCTGCCCCCTTGTGGCCAGAGGTCAGGGTTTGCTCTTACCAAAGGCCATGGTCAAGGCCAACAACAGAAGGGTCTTCATGGGGACAGTTCCCTGCGTGAGAAATGCAGATGGTTTGGCCTAGACTCCTCTCCCAGGTGGTCCCAGCTTCTGCCCTGGCCCCTGCTCAGCTGCCCTGGAGAAAGGAACCTTCAATGGAACTCACAGACATGCCCCTCGATCCAGGATGACTACCTTCTCACATATGAGCACACAAGAAGTGCGCACACACAGGGCCTCCTGACCCTTGCCAGTTTTGTTTGACTGTTTTTACACACATGCAGGTCTCAGACCCAAGAAGACCCCCACACGGTACACTCAGGAGATGTCCATGCTCCCCATCAGATTGAGAGTTCCTGGAGGTTGCAACCAGGTCATCCCAACCAACTCGGAGATTCCCAAGATCATAGGTTGTACACCTCTCCCCACCACCCATTACATATAGCTTACTTGTTCCAATCAAATCCAGGACTTGGGACTTCCATTTATGAAGTCCAATCTCTAATTTTCCCCCCAAAAACTAAAGCATAGCACCTTCTCTTTGTAAGACTTTCTAACCCCTTACACATATACACATGCGCAAATGCAGATACAGTCACGCACATATGCGTGCATATACACACTCCTGAGCTCACCCGCTAATGCAGACCTTTCATACAATCACTCACATACCCACACAGCACATTTGTGCCCATCCCCCAAATCATGTGCATGCATGTGTATTTTCATATATGCAATATTCACATGCATAAATACCCATGGACACATATACACGGCACTGCCCCTCTTTTTTTTTTTTTTTTTTTTTAAAATATATTTTATTGATTTTTTACAGAGAAGAAGGGAGAGAGATAGAGAGCTAGAAATGTCGATGAGAGAGAAACATCGACCAGCTGCCTCTTGCACACCCCCTACGGGAGATGTGCCCGCAACCAACGTTGATGCCCCTGACTGGAATAGAACTTGAGACCTTTCAGTCTGTAGACCGAGGCTCTACCACTGAGCCAAACCGGTTTCGGCAGCACTGCCACTCTTAAAGGCAGCTACTGAGCAGGACACATACCCCTGATATGAATTTTGGGGGGCATGAATTTTGGGGTGTTAGCTCTCAGAGAACGCCAGCGTTGATAGCTCCAAGTGCTGGTCTTGTGTACTCTGAACTCCTGCTCCCCTTAAATAGCTGCCCCCTTGGGAAGGATGGGAGTTGGGTATACAAACAGTGTGAGAGTGCCTCCAGAGAGTGGCATGGGCCTTGGGTAAACACTCCCTGACAGCCAGCCAGCGTGGCAGAGGCCGGTGCTCATAAACACTCCACCTGGCTGGTTCCGGTTAGAGCATCCGAGCAGTGCTACTGAGGGACCAGAGGAGGCAGGGGTTGGATCCCTGAGTCAGGGCAGGAGAAAACCTGCCCAGGGGAGACCCACAGACTCTCCTGGGACTGAGGGAGAAGGACGTGTTGTTTTCAGTCACTGGTCACTGAGGTTGCTGGTGACTGCAGCAGAGCCTCGTCTGTGCTAACAGCCTTCGAGGCAGCGTTCACCTTGGACATGCAATTTAGTGCAAATGCTAGACCTGTGTGAGGGTGCATTGAGCCCACCTGACCAAGTCCTATGTGGAAGCCCTAACTTCCAGTATCTTGGAGTGCAATCTTATTGGAAAATAGGGCCTATGAAGATGTGGTTGGTTAAGATAAAGCTATTAAGCCAAGTTCACTAGTACTGGTGTCTTTACAAAAAGAGGAGATTTGGGCTCAGACACACACAGTGAGGACACCAAGTGAGGATGGAGGCTGAGATCGGCCATGCTTCTATAAGCCAAGAAACGCTGAAGGTGGCGGGAAACCTTGGCGGTGAGGGGCGAGGATGGATCGGATTCTCTCTCAGGGCTCTCAGAGGAAGCGGCCACGTCCGAACCTTGATCTCAGAATTCTGGCCTCAAGAACTGTGAAGCAACACATCCCGCCATTTAAGCCACTCAGTTGGTGGGATTGTGCCTACCAGCCCCATCACCCTGAGGGCATCTCTGTCCACCTGGGATTTTCGCTCTCATAGCTGTTTGCTTTAGCCTAAGTCTGGGAATAGGATAAACCTTAACTTTTTGGAGCACCGCAGTATTGCAAACTGGTCATGTCTACAATAGGCAAACTGCCTCCCCGACAGCCGCAATACTGGGGGGCCCTGGCACTGCATCCAGGCCGCAGCACTTTCGGACTCTGCCGGCAGCCCAAATGGCCACTCTTTTCACAACCTTTCATGGTTTTCCCCACAAGAATTCAAAGTCCCTGATTTGGTCTCTTGACAGCATCCTTCACCCAAGGACTAATCTAAGCACTTGGAATACACCAGTGGACAAAACAAACCACCTGTACTCAAGGTATGCCTTTTTAGTGGAGAAGGACAAAGAATAAACAAAAGATACAAAAATTATATAGCCAGCCTGTTAGGTGAGTATAATGCAAGGACCAGAAGCAACAGAGATGGAGAAGGAATGGCAAGAGGGAGTGGGTGCTGGGATTCTTGTCCCAGCATTATGAAGGGTCCAGCATTCTGGAGAAAGGAGCTGATGTATAGATGATTTAAAAGAAATCCAAAAAACAAAAGATGATTTTGAAACGCATTAGGTGTGGGGTCCTGAGTTGGCGGGGATCTCCTTTTAGGTGTCCAGCGCCAGAAGAGAGATGAAACAGGTTCTTGGTAGAGGCGGCCAGGGATTGAGAAATATATGAAATAAAGAGAGTCGAGAAATAGATTCAAAGCTGGGTTCCAGGTGGGCCGCTGCCCTTTTCCCTGAGAGACAGATCACAACCGAGCCATTTATTTACTTCCAAAAGAATAAAGGGGGGTTTCCCTGAAAAGCTTAGGATCACAGGCGTTTTGGTTGTGCCCAGGTCCTATTCATTCCCTCATTCCCAGCACACGGATAAAGAAAAGAAGTCAGTACGGATAAGTCTCCTGCCATTTGGGAGTCCTTTTCATCTATGGAGTGAGAGCCAATATCAGGAATCTGCCGTGCCAATCACCTCCGACTAGCTGACATCAATGTAAAGAATATCCATGTGCATTCCCAGGGGGCCCTCTACAATTGGGGACCAGAGGAGCTTCAGCTAAAGGAACTGAAGACTACTCCTTATCTAAGGATCTCATGGTATTTATTAACACAATATGTCCTAAGGCAAGGTGGAGACATACAAATGGTAAGGTTTCAAAGGGTAAGGTACAGAAGTATTGTCAGTTTGGGGAATAGCCTACAGCTGTTCATGTGTTTGGCCAAAGAAGGCAATAATTTGCAGATTTAAGATACTCTGAGCTGCCTGGCAGCAAGCAATCCTATTCAGGTTTGGGGGAAGCGCCGTTTAGCTGTTCCATCAGGTAAAACCATATATGTGGCTCAGCCCTTGTTGAGCCTCCCAAGTCCCATCAACCTTTTGATGGAACTCTTGTAATTATCACATGCGGGAATTGGTTTTGGGCAATGGGTGAAGGTGGGTTCAATTTTACATAGGATGGATGTTCTCAGATGAAAAGTGCTTTCAGCATCGTCGGTGTTCACAAACAATTTTTAAACATCATTCATCCTTAAAAGACTCAGCCTTTTGGAAGTGGTTCTTTCCCATCTCAGGATTATGGCTGAAATTTTTCTATTATTTCCTTTTTTATGTGTGAGGAAAAATTACTCATTTCTCTCTTTTTAAAAAGCACATCACCTTTGTTTGAAACACTTATATTTACAGGAAAGTTGCAGTGGCACATTCCTGTATTCCCCGGGAGTTCCAGCTTCCCCGATTGTTTACATCCCACATATAGCCTTGGCACCTGATAGGAACCAGCAAATGGACACTATTAACACATCTACAGATCTTCTTGGAGTGTCAGCAGTTTTCCTATGCATGTCTTTTTTTCTGGTCTATGATCCAATCCAGGATGCCACGTTGCTCCTTAGTCTTTCTTTGCTTTTTGTGACCTTCAAACTTTTTGGAGAGCACTGCTCAGGTGTTTCTAGAATGTGCCTCAGTTGGGTTTATCTGGTGTTTTCTCATGATCAGATTGAGGGTATGCGTTTTGGGCAAGACTATCACAGAAGTGACAGTGGCCTCTCTCAGGAAAATGGATCAGTGGACCATAATATCAATAGATCATTACTACTGATGTTCATCTTGATCACTTGGTAAGGTGGCGTCTGCCAGGTATCCCCACTGGAAAATTACTCTTTTTCCTGTTGAAATTAGTACATGCCTTGTGGTGAGTTACTTTGAAACCATGCAAGTGTTCCATTTTTGTCAAATTCTCCTTGTATTTCTGCTCACTGCAACAATTATTACTTGTTTTTTATTTCTCCCCTTCAACATTAATTATTTAAATTGTACTGTAGGTAAGAGCTTTTCTTTGTATTTATTTATTCAAATAATTATTTATATTAGTATGTGCTCATTATTTTCATCTATGGAGTGAGAGTCAATACCATCATTATTTATTTCCTTGCTCATATTATCCCATCTTGTCCCTTTATGCTGACACCTTTTGGCATGCCCTTGCCATCTTTTTTTTTCTTAGCATTTCATTACTTTCTGGCATTCCAAAATGTTCCAAGCTATCTTGTATTTTAACTTTCCAATCATACATTTCTCCTAGGATCCCTGGTTCTTTTCTTTTCTCCACCCCCTTATTTACTTCCTCCCTCCATCTCTTCTTTCCTCCCTCCCTCCCTTCCTTCCTTCTTTCCTTCCTTCCTTCCTTTCTTCTTGTGAATGATATTTAGAAACAAACACAGGGGAGATTGGATACTTAATGTTACTGGAATGTCAGTCCTTCTGCCCTTCTCAACAGTCCAAGTTGGGAAACACACACCCTCACATTCAAAGTGATCACCAAACCCAAGATCATCTAGATTTTCTCCTAAATTATCGTTCAAGAGTTTTATAACTTCCTATTTTGCATTGGTGTCTATGATCTGTTTTGAGTTAATTTTTGTGAAGCATGTGTCCAGATTTGTTGTTATTTCTTTTGGTAGATGTTCTTTATCAAGCTGAGGAAATGCCCTTCTAG